AAATATATAAAAATATATAAAAGCAGAGGGAGAAATGGGAGCACTCTCATGATCCAGGAATTTCTCCCATTCAGTGTTGGTGGACCAGAGTCTGATCTGTTTGGGACTGCAAAAAAAAAAAAAAAATGTCAGAAAATCTGAATATTGGAGCAGAATCACTCTGAGCTGTGTGGGTTGAACACTTGAGTGACCTCCTCCAGCCCACCATGTGTCTGTGAGTGAGAGCTCAGGGATGTCCTGGCACTGTTATGAAAACCTTGTCACTCGTGACCCCTGCAGTGCCCAGAGGGCACCTGGGGGCATGGAAATGCTGTATTAAACCAAAAATGACAGGTTAGAAGTTAAATTTGGCCTGGGTTTTGGGGCAAGGGCTGCAGCTGACTGTTATTTAACTCGGCCAAACCAGCCTGTGGCAACAGAGGCAGAGGATGGACCTCAACCTTTGACTGTGCTCAGAGGAGGTTTTGCTGGCCAGGGCATTTTTGCAGTGCTTGTCTTCTGATAAGTGGAGATGTGAATAATCCCAGCAGCGACGAGCTGGGCTCTGCCAGGGGAGGATGAGCACAAGGCAAACATCTCCACACAGCCCCAGGCAGGGCAGGGGGGACCCAGGCTGGTGGGGAGCCGGGATCTCTGCTGCCCTGCCGCTAATCCCTGTGTTTTTCCAGGAGGTTTTGCAGGACTCTGCCTCTCCCCAGGGATGGGGGATGCTGATAATGTGCTATCTCAAGGCATGTTTCCTGCTCACAGCACCAGGGTGCCCAGGGCCAGCAGTGCTTGAGCAGACAGGAAGGTGACTACAAGTATCCAGGGAAAAGGCAGTTATTGTATTTGCAGGGATTTTTGTGGTAGGAAGAATTTTATTTCATGTTTTCAGAAGGTTAATTTATTATCTTATTACATTATATTAAAATACTATATGAAAATATGATATGAAAATATTATATGATACTAAAATTTATTAAAGAATACAGAAAGGATACTTACAGAATGCTAAAAAGATAATAATGAAAAACTCGTGACTCTCTCTACAGTCTCAATATAGCTTGGCACTGATTGGTTAATGAGTGAAAATACGGCAGAAACTGATGAAACAATCACCTATTGGATAAATAAATTTTAAACACATTTTATATGAGCTAAACAGAGGAGAAGCAAATGAGATAATTGTTGTTTTCATTTTTCTCTGAGGCTTCTCAGCTTTCCAGGACAAAAATCCTGGGTGAAGAAATTTTTCAGAAAATATGAATGTGACAGGTAATGACTTGTTAAACTGCAGGGGACTTTTTTATTATGGTAATTCTTCTTCTTTCTGTGTTTTTTTCTTGTTTTAGTCAATCTAAAAAAAATCAATGGAGATCCCACTGACTGAGCTCTCAGTGAGGCTGTGCCCTTATCGGTGATGTGTGACACAGGGCTGTGCTGAGCCCACACCTGGGGGATGTTGGTGCCAGGGGTGAGGTTGTTCAGGGTTAGTTACAGCCCCTGTGGTGCCCTGGACATCCCAAACCTGTTCTGTGGTGGGTGCAGGAGGAAAAGGAGGATTGCAGCCCATCCTTTGGGATCAGGGCACTGAGGATGCCCAGCCCAGGTGGGTGCAGGAGGAAGAGGATTGCAGCCCATCCCCTGGGCTCAGGTGGGTGTAGGCTCCCTGCCACAGCACTGGCTGCATTTTCCCTTCTGTCCCGCTGTGCCCAGCAATAAAACCCTCCTTTGCTTTGTGCCCAAACCTCCTCCCTTGGCCCTGCTGACACCTCCAGTGGAGCTCTCCCATCCCTCCTGCCTGTGGCAGCTCCTGGAAATGAATGATTTGGGGGCCCCAAAGCCCCGGGAGTCGCTGGGATGGACTGGGATGTGCTGGGGTGAACTGGGGTGAGCTGGGATGCGTGGGGATGTTCGGGGATGTGCTGGGATGTGCTGGGATGAACAGGGGTGTACTGGGATGTGCTGGGATGCGTTGAGGTGTGCTGGGATGCTCTGGGATGAGCTGGGATGTGCTGGGATGCGCTGGGAAGCACTGAGATGTGCTGGGATGGGCTAGGACGAGCTGGAATGTGCTGGGATTCGCGGGGATGCTCTGGGATGTGCCGGGATATGCTGGGATGAACTGGGATGGGCTAGGATGAGCTGGGATGCGCTGGGATGAACTGGGGTGTACTGGAAAGTGCTGGGATGAGGTGGGAAGCGCTGGGATCCGCGGGGATGCTCTGGGATGCGCCGGGAAGCGCTGGGATGCGTTGGGATGCGCTGGGAAGCGCCGGGAAGCGCTGGGATGCGTTGGGATACGCTGGGATGCGCCGGGAAACGCTGGAATCCTGAGCAGAGCCGGCTGCGCAGCCGGGCTGGGGCTGATGCGAGAGCGGCTGTGGCTGCGCTGCTGCCGCTGCCAGGGGAGGGAGGGAGGGGAAGGGGAGGGGAGGGTGCCGAGGTGTGCCCGTCACCCCGAGCAGGGGGCTGGCCCTGAGGAAGCTCCGCTGTCTCCCCAGAGCCGCTCTGAGCACGCTGTCGGCACAGACCCACCGGCAGGGAGGACGGCTCAAAGGCAGTGAGTATCTTTATCTCGGTGTCTGTCTGTCTGTCTGTCTGCAGTGCCTCCGTGCTCGGTTTTCCCCCCTGGCTTTCTGTGCATGTGAATGGATAGTCTTAATCTCCCGAAGCCCCCCGAGAGATCTCACGGTTTGCTGTTCTGTTTATTTGGTTGGTTGGTGTTTTAGCCTTTGTGCTGCTGGTTTGGTTTTTTTGTATTGGGATGGCTTCTTTATCTGTGCCCAGGTGGTTTGATAACCTGAATGTCCTAATCACAGCCCTCCCTTGCTGTCTGTCAAGGAGAAACCCCCAAAACTCATCCATGATGAGGCTGGTGGCTCTCCTTGACTGGATTCCTTCCATAGGAGAGGGAGGCAGGATGAAGGATGGAGCGGGGGGGGGAAAAAAACCCCTCACCAAGACCTTCATTGCAATTTGCCAGACACCACAGATTACATTTTAAAGCCAAAACTGACTGGATTTATTTGCAAACAGAGGGAGCATCCACGGGGATGCCAGCTGAGCATTGCCTCCATGGGGAATGCAGGTCCCTGCACCCCTGAAGTCAGACTTTGGGGTCCCAGGGAAGTTGGGTGCTTGCTGTGGGGGTGAGTGGGGGGCAGTGGGGGCCAGCAGGAGGCTTTTTCATAACAGAACCCCAAAATTCAGCCTGCAAGGGAGAGGGAGGGCAGATGGCTCCACTGGAGCAGCAGTGGGAAAGGGAAGCAGGAGCTGCTGGACTCTAGGAAGTCATGTGCTGTGGCCCTACATGGGGGTGAGGCTGTTAATGAGGAAATTTAGAGGGGCTTAAGGAATTACAAGGATTGATTTCAGTCAGAGAAGCAGCCGGCCGGGGCAAGGATTAAGGGAATGCACTCACTGGCAGTGCAGCACAATCCCAGTTCCATTAATTTAGTGGGGAAGAGGCTTTGTGCCTTTTTAATGTAATCAGGGTTTAAGAGGGATGGTGCAGTGGGCAGCCCAAGCTCCAGGGTGTCCCCCAGCAGAGCAGGGTCCTGGCTCCTTGCACCCCCCCTCAGCTCTCATGGAGGGCACCTGGAGCCTGGCAAACCAGGAACATTTGCCTCTGCTCTTTTAGAATCCTGTTCTCTGTCCTCTGGCTCTCCTGCCTGCTGCATCTCACCTTCACTCTCTGCTGATGGGAGAGTTGTCAGCCCGTGATCCCCAGCGTGCCAAGGCTCA